AGATATTCAACTCATTGAGGATGTGCATGAAGGGACAGTGTCCCTTCATCAAGTGTTCTGATGATACAAAATTGTGAGAAGCTACTGATAGACCAAACAGTTTTATTGCCATTCAAAGCAACTTTGACAGGCTGGAGAGTTAAGGAGAAAGGAACCCCATGAAATTCAATAAAGGCGGATGCAGGGTCCTGCACCGGGAGAGAGATAACCCCATGTACCAGCACAGGCTGGGGCTGACCTGCTGGAAAGCAGCTCTGTGAAAAAGGACCTGGGGGACCTGGGGGTCCTGGTCCTGGTGGACAACAAGAGGTCTATCAGCCAGCAGTGTGTCCTTGTGGTCAAGAAGGCCAGTGAGATCCTGGGGTGCATCAGGAAGAGCATTGCCAGCAGGTCAAGAGGGGTGATCCTCTATTTAGCCCTAGTGAGGCACATGTGGAATGCTGTGTCCTGTTCTGGGCTCCTCAGAGCAAGAAAGACTAGGAATTCCTGGACAGAATTCAACAGAAGTCTGCAAAGGTGTTTAGGGGACAGGAGCATCTGTCTTATGAGGAAAGGCAGAGGGAGCTGGGCCTGTTTAACCTGGAGAAAGAGGACTGAGAAGGGATAGTTTCAATGCATTAGAAAATCTTAAAGAGAGGGAGTTAAGAGGATGGGGCCAGACTCTTTTCAATGGTGTAATAGGACAACAGTCAATGGGCCTCAGTTGTAACACATGAAGTTCCATCTGACTATGAGGAAAAACTTCTTTGCCTTGAAAGTGAAAAAACACAAGAACAGTTTGCCCAGAGAGGTGGTATCTCTTCTGGAGATATTTAAAATTGCCTGGACATGATTATGTGCAACCTGCTCCAGGTGAACCTATCACAATGTGTGTGGAGGTTAGACTAGATGAACTTCAGACATCTCTTCCACTCCATGATTAAGATGCAATGTAATGAAAGATAAAATAGTAAAATAAGATATCATGTATGACCTACAGATCAGGTAGACATTAGGAAATTGTTAAATCATGATTTAAAAAAAATTTGTTTGTCTGTTTTTGTTAAGGACCAATTACCCCTCCCCCCCCCCCCCCCCCCCCCCCCCCCCCCCCAACCTCCATATCCCACCAGCTGAAAGATCAAAAGAAAATGGTTGGGATGACAGCAAGGCAAGACAGGTTTTTTTGCTTTGCTTGTTTTCAGCACTGGACAGCAGAGTGTATGCTTAAGGCTGGATGCATGAAATTAAAGTGGTCCAGGGCTTAAAATAAAGTAATCCTTTCCTTAAACAGAAATCTTATGATAAAATGAAAATTATTTGCAATTACTGTAAGAGTAGTTTTCTAATAGCCTGTTGGTGACATAGACAGACAAAGCCAACCTTGTATCATAGCATAAGTGTAGTGTGTATGTTGAATTTTGTGGGTGTAAAATCATGTCTTGTGTATCCTCCTATGTGATGACAGAAAGCATGTCAAGTGCCCACATCAGGGTGTCAACTGAAAAGGCCAAAGACTTGGTGTAATGCTCAAGGATAAAAACCAATTCACAGCTTAACTCCAAAGAATAAATTAAGAAACAATTCCATATTTGAGATTCTAACTGATTCACGGGAGAAGGAAAAGTGGAGACAGAGCGATGTGCAAAATATCAAAACAGGTGAATCTAAGAGCCCAAAATACTTGTAGAATAAAAAAAAAAAATCAAAGCAATCATCTGCAAAAGGCTAAAAACCCAATAATTTTTAGATGTACCTTCTCAATTAGGTGACAATCAGCATATTTTGGTGCTACTTATGCCAAAATCTACAGTGCACTGGTGATTTCAGCTGACAGTAGAGTCTAACTGACAGTAATAGAAGACTGACTTTGCTTGCCTTCTGAGAAGTACAGTTGTATGGAAATCTTTGGACCATTTGAAATATTGGTGTGTTACCCAGAAATTATGCTGTTCTCAGTTAAATAACTCCTCTCCATTTCTTAGGGCAAGGGAGAAAATGTACTTCACTTTGGAGAAAGAGCAAACTTTGCTGTACCCCACCAAGAAACCAAGTATGTATTCTTTAGAGAAGGACTCCCTGTTGGGCACTTAAACAGCTCAAATTCAACCATCATTTACAGGTCTCTGAGGCAGTTTTCTTCCATCAGATGAAGACAAACAAAAGTCTTACAATCATTCATCCTAAGTGATGTGGCTGCTAACAATTTGGAGTAAGTATTAAAAGAAATGGTCTCCTACCCTACTGATATTAAAGACTGAGTGGAAAATGATACTGAAACAGTGGAATGTATACTAAGAACTGCCTGGGGTATGAGACATCACCTGTATGCTATCATTCTACTACTCCAATGGAAGAAGACATCTACTATTAAACATAGGCAAAACCATGTAAAGTAGCTTTCTAGCTAGCTTCACAAAGTTATCCTGGGGATCTAGTTGGGATTCCTTTGTCTGTAAGGATCTCTTGATAGGGAAATGCAAGATGAAGACATAATTCCTGAAGCCATGACTAGCACCCACTTTGGATAAAAACCTTCTAGAGTGAGAGATAGACAGTGTGAGAGAAGAAGCCTCACTGTGACTACATTTATTTGTTTGGGTGCCACTTAATGCCTTTCCTTATTAAAATTGTCTTTCAAAATCTTCCACAAGCTTTATACTGGCAAATGGAAAGACAAGGCCTTCATAGTAGTTACACAGGCCCTTGGATCATGACACATTTTATGATAAACTCTCTAGCTATGCTCTTCACTTAACAATGAGGAATAGTTTTCTCCATAATAAGTTATCTAGAATCAGGACTAATTCAGACAAAATTAAGACTGGTCTGATGTTTCATTCAGAGATTTCTAGTCTGTTCTCTCCTTCCTTCAGTCTGTAAGAAGGCAAGACAAGATACAGCAGAACACATTTCCTTCCTGCTGAACTCTGACTTCTACAGGAAATATGCAGGAGAGAGAATTCACCTCTCTTCTCATCTCAACTTTTCAGTTTAGCAAAGGGACACTGAACATAACAGAATCCTTTTCCCCACTCATCTTAGATACAAAATGCTAGCAACCTTGATGTGTTGATGTATTAGTTCAATAGTGATTACAGATGATGGCACTTCAGCCCTCTAAGAGACAAATGCTTTCTCAAAGGGCCCTGTATGCTCCCCTCTGTAGCTAACTAAGATTTAAAAGTGTTTCAAAAGGATGATTAATTAAATCATAGAATGATTTGTGTTGGAAGGGACCTTTAAAGGCCATTTAGATCCTACCCCCCCGCCATGAACAGGGACACCTTTCGCTAGACCAGATTTCTCAAAGCCCCATCCAACCTGACTTTGAACATTCCTAGGGATGGGAATTCCATAATTTCTCTGAGCAACTCTTTCTCAGGTTAGCACCACCCTCACAGTAAAGAATTTCTTCCTTATATCTAATGTAAATATGCACTTTTTCAGTTTAAAGCCATTTTACCTTGTCCCATCACCACACGGCACTGTACAAAGTCCTTCTCCAGACCTCTTGTAGGCTTCCTAATGGAAGGAACTATAAGCCCTGACCCCTGGAGTCTTGGTCTCCATACCGACCAAGTCTAACTCTCAGCCTAAGAGAGGTGCTCCAGCCCTTTGCTTATCTTTGCTGTCCTCCTTTGGACTTGGTCCAACTTAATCCATTGTCCTTCCTGTGTGGAGGACCCAGAGCTGGATGCAGCACTCCAGGCATGGTCTCAACCAGAGCAGAGGGGCATGATAATCTCCTTTGACCTTCTGGCCATGCTGCTTTGGGTGCAGCCCAACACATGGCTGGTTTTCTGGGTTGCCAGTGCACATTACTAGCTTGTGTTGTGCTTTTCGTCAACCAACACCCCCAAGCTATTTTCTTCAGGGCTGTTCTCAATCCATAATCAAAAATAAAGTGTGTAGAATAGAGATGGGATGAACCCTCTAGAGGAACTATGTTCTCTGCTCTGTCTGTTCAAATAACATAGATGGTGACAGTTTCAGACTAGAGGCTTCAATTTTGCAAGTTAGGTGAGGTGAACCCTATCTAAACTTAAAATTCCAACCACACATATCCAGAGTAGCACTTTAAATGATAAATATGGCTGAGTTAAACCTGTATGCCTATTGAAATGCACTGGAAGAGGTCCATAAAGAAATTTTACAATTACCCCGTGGAAGCTGACAAAAATCATCATCCAGTGATCAGATATTTACTGTCTGGTTTGTTTTCTTTATTTTCTTTTCTCTGCAGATGAATCATTTACATGAATAGCCCAAAAACTATAATCCTGTTTGTCCCCTTCAAACATGATCTCTTTAGTCCTTTAAATTTCTTTTTAGGAGGAACATTAGTGCTTTCTGATTTTTAATGCAACTGCTGCTTTGATGAATGATTTAATTGTTTAAACAGTTCAAGAATGTAAAGACTGCCTCTAAGCTAGGCCTTATTTAATAGCAAGAACAAAGCTGCTGCAATATATATTAGAGAATAAGCTTCATTGGGGTGAGATCACCAATTCCCCTGTCCACCTCAGCGGTCTAGCTATTTTTTTTTCTGTGAAACAAATCCTGTCATCTATACTCAAAATTTAATCAGGAGAAAAGACACAATAACAGCACTAAGAGTGTCTTCTGGCAGAGCCCTTCATAACCTGAAGCTGTTTTGCTTTCCTGGCAGTATCATGCTCCATTTTGCTTGACATGATGATAAAGCTTTGCAAAAGGCAGCACTGTCGATCCCAAGGAAAGCCAACTCACATCCCTGTCTACCCACTCTCAGAAGTGTGATAAGAAGGTTTCACTCATTGCCTTTACCTCTCTTTTAAGAAGGATAGCAGCACAAGGGAGTTTTTTGAAATTAAACCTTATGCGTTATCTCTGTGCTTTTAAGTCATTACTTAAATGCCCTGCCCATTTCTTTTCAGGTGACATTGGCTTCTTCCACAAAACCTCACCCTGTTTTATCTCCCTTCCCTACCCATATTTCTTCTTCTCTGCATCGATCTCTTGCCACAGTGACAGTCTTCTTATTTCCGTTAATTTAACTTTGATGGTGTTTAAATAAAGAAAATATCACTGTGTTGGTGTACTGCTGTGCACTGCTTTGGATAAAAATACACTTTTTTCTTTCTGCTATTAAATGTTTTTTTTATTTTAGTGCTCAGTGCTGTCATCTCTCCACTTGCTTCCTCCAACATGCATCTCAGCAGAAAGCAGGAAAGGCAGACATCCTTTTAGCTCAGGATGACCACTCAAATGCATAGAAAGAATGAAAGCTTAGTTTCATAATATGGGAGCTATTTTGTTCTATTTCTCAGAATCAGAAGTGATGAGAATTGCAGAGCAGGTGCCATTCTTCTCCCTGACTTGCTGCAAGCTGCAGTTTGTTGGACTTTTAAGTGACTGATTCCACATGAGTAGTTCAAGATAAAGGAAGTGATTCAGTGCCCAAAAGTCCTATTATCAAGAATATACAACCTGTTAAATGCCTGCTACTGGATGAAGATAGTGAATTTGTGAAAAAAAACTCAATCAAAATAATCCTGCCTATGTTGTAATTAAAAGTGTAGGAGATAACGTGAGTGGCATGCATTGCTTGGGCTGTCAGCTGTAAAACAAACACTATCTTCTGCTTTATTGCATGATTTATTTCATTTTTATCTGCTTAAAAAAATACTCATTAGGGATGAGCTGCAGGAGAATGATTTTTGGACAGCTATGGGGTGAAATGAGCACACAATGAAGGGTGACCTTTCAAAGGGGGATTATCTATAAATAGCAATGGTTATCCCTCACAGCCTTCTGACATAAGCCTGCTGGGAGTATGAAAAAGGAGACCCTTTCCACCAGTTCCTCCAACATGATTTTAGATTGGCACATGACATGTTTTGGCCATGAATAGCTGAGGAGAATTTGCAAAGGGATCCAGCAAAAAGCCTTAGCAGCTGTCTGGCTGTCGATATCCCCCAGGGTTTAAAAATTAGCTCAGAACTTCCTTCTCTTTGCCCATGAACAATGACACGCACTTTACTAGAAAAGTAAAGATTTCATGTTTAAAATATATAATCTTGGGAGCTCATCTATTAAAAAAAAAAAAAAACTATATCAGTTTTAAAATTAGCCAAGCAGTGTCAGCAGAGTTTATTCAAATGCCAAAGGGCTTTAGGATCTGACTGCAGTTCTTAACTACTGTTTTAACTTCTGCTTTGCACCATGGATCCATCAAATCCTTTATTTGGAATGAGGAAGAATTGGTATTCCTGGGCATTTACTATTTTTAAAGTGAAAAAGGTGAGTGAATTTATCAGGGAAAAAATAATGGACTATTTTGTTTGTAGTGCATGTCCTTTGCTTATTTGCCATGTGATATTGTCATAAAATAGTATTTCAGAGATTTTATTTTTGAAGTTTTCATATGAAGGATAATCTGCAAAGGGAGAGTGCATAGAAGATGATCGTTTTAAATAGTCAGATATGATCAGTGCCTGAACGCCTGTGTGTTTGTTGCATGCTTGTGTTTTAAACTGTGTCCTCTGTGCAGCCAGACATCACCAGCAGCCCTTCCACAAAAAGCAGAACTGCACTGTGCTCCTAACCCCTGCGCCTCCTGTATTTAGGATAGTTATTCGGATAGAAACAAAGCCTAAGCTGCTTGATTACTGTTAGATGCATATTGAATGATTACTGTGTTTATCACCAGTACTATAATAATGAGTATTAATGACCAAGACCTATACAAAAGATTGAGCCCATGCACTACATACTGATGGTAAACATGGTAAGAAGCAGTCTTTGTTTGAAGGCATTTACAACCTAAATAGACATGCAGCAAGAGGTGTTATTATCTGCTCTTCACAGATGGTGACCAAGATAAACTGACATGATGTGCCAAGGGATACAGGCAAAAGTGAGGGGGCAGGGAGGGAGTGAGCCAGGGCTGAAGCTGGGTTAGCAGCTTGCCTTGACGGTGACCACTCTCCCTCATTGCACCCGCTGCAAACTGAATATGGGCTTCCCTCTGCTTGCAGACAGGCAGTGCATGATAAGCAGCTTCCTCCCCAGCTCCTCCAGGCACAGTTTTGGCCCTCATTGCTATGGCCCTCATAGCTGACTTCTGCCAAGTGGTGCAAGGTTCCTGTATATCCAGGAACTATTTGTAAATGGTTGGCTTCACAAAGAAGATTTTTTGATTCTGTCTTGCAGATGTTGTTTTAATGCACATTTGACAGTTGATTCTCTGCTTTAACATCATGATCTTGAAGCTGTTCACTTTGGATGTTTACAGCTGTTCTTGGGTTTAACAGCAGTGCTTCATTCAAACCTTTCCACAGTCCAGGATTCCTCCCTGAATTTATCATGAGGAAATGCTGCTTTTAAAAAAATTAGGGTTCTTACAGATGGGTTAGTGAAAGGCATTATATAATACTGTGCTGGCTCTAGAAACAGACTCTGTGACCCAGAAGATAACTTCCAGTCCTGTGTTACTGCTGCCTATGATACAATGACTTGTTTTCAGTACAACATCACTGAGCATTGCAAGTTCTCTTTTGACATGAAAATCCCCTGAATGGTGACAGGGAGAAGATCACTCTTCTGCCATTGCTATAATGTATTTCTACTCAGATGCAACTCCAGTTCAGGGTTGGTGCTCTATTTTGACCTCTCCTACAATGACAGGTGCAGAAAATTATTCCTGTGTTGAACTGCCAGGACAATAGGAAATGTTAGCAGATAGTAAATGACAATTTGCATCTCCTGGTTGTCATTCCTTCATAAAATTGAGGATGTGTTTATTGTGTAGTCATGTTGCTGCTCCATTCTAACTGGCAGGTTAGTTTTCAAATGTGACTTATATTATGAATCTTGTTTCCATGTTGGAGTGCTTCCACATTACTGCATGGAATTTGAATGTGTTGAAATAATGGGAATGCAGCAGTGGTGGTGGCTGGGAGGCAGAGATTATCTGAAAGCTTTCAGGATGCTCCTAGCAGTGTGCTGCATTAGCCAAGGGATTTTTATGGGCACAGAGGCACAAAGTAACCCCTCTAATCCCTTTCTCACTGGCTTACAGACTCTGAAGAAGCTTAATAATTACAGAGGAATGCAGTCAAAGTGTTTTTAAGGACATATGTGCAGAGGCTTATTTTAGTCATTTCCTAACAGCAAATGCACTGGTGTATTCTCAAGGAGAAAGCTGGGTGCAAATTTTCCCTTCTCTCAACACCCCCAACCAAAAGATGATTTACACTTATATCAAAAAGAGGCTTAACCAGTGTGGAACTGAAAGAATATTTCCCAGCCTGTAGGATTATGGTTTTTCCACAGCCATACCACTCACCCTCTCCTTCGGGTGAAATACAAAGCGTATCTCTGTACTGCTGAACCTTTTTTTTTTTTTCCAATTAAAAGGCCAACAGAAAGCCTGCATGTTCACTTTAAAATATCCTATCCTTCTGGACTATTTCACTTTCTCTGAAATCACTGATTCAGCTGATGGTGACTCCGCTGCTTGTGTTTCGTTATCTGTAAGTATGTCCCTAACTGCGTACTAAATATATGCTTAAGAAGGAGGTGTGCACGAACTGTTTCTGTGCTAAGCTTTTAGTTTCACAGCTATGTCATTTCTGGCAGAATCTGTGCCTGAAAGAGAAAGATACGATGGATACTCTCTCACTCCACAGAGTTTTTGTGATTTTTTTTCACCGAGAATCTTTCCTAATTCAAAAATTATGGCATTGGTTCTCCCCATTCACCTTCAAATATAACCTCCTAGGAAATTTGGGCACAAAAAAACCAACAGTAACTTGAAAAGTTTTTTGAGCATTAATGGTAGAGGAAGATAGTAAATGTATACTTGTTTTATGGTGCATGCTAATGAAATGTTTGGTATCCCACTGTTGCTTGGAATATAAACTGCAATAAAAATTAAACAAGTTATGTCTTATTACTGCATTACTAACTAAAAATGGCCTGTTTTCTCAGCTTTGTAGCAAAGATGAAAGTTAGTCCATGTACTTGCCATTTCTGTGCTTGCCATAAGACAGTCCCAAGGCCTGTAAATTCACATAAAAAATATATGAGGTAAAAATTAGCCTAATCTGTCTTGAATTCTTCTTCTAAAATTTCATTATTCTGCCTGCACCTTAACTGAAGTCTTGATCCTTTTCTTCTAGGGATGCTAGGATCAGATTGCTCCTTTTAGGATTGCAAATAAACTGCAGTTTAAACCCTTAGCATTTGCTACGCTTGATCCAGTTTACTGTATGTGAAATTTTGAGATGAAACTATGTAAACTAATCCATGATCTGATTTTCCTGCTTGGATATTAAAAACTTGTGGCACTTTCTGAAGAGAGGGTGTATGATGAAATGACATGAACCTGATTTTTTTCCCCATGTCCTCAAACTTTTTTCCCCTAAGGAAACCAACTCTTATTTTACACACTGCTTTCACACTAAAGTTCAAGTGTTCCAATCAGTTTAGATTTGAACTGACTCAGCAAATCTCTGCTTTCAAGGCTGGAATCTAGCTACCGAGACAAAGTAATGAGCACATGTGTTCCAGCACATGCACGGACCCTTGATGATGCCTCATGAATGTGGGTGCTACTGACCCACTGGCACCCTCTCATGCTGCTTTCTCTTGCTTTGCACAAGACTTTGTGCAAAGTCTTGCCAGGGACTTTGACAGCAACAAGAGAGAGCTTCACCCTACAAATGGGAAGGTCTCCTTTCCTATGTGGTAGCTGCACATCCATCCCCCAAACAGTGCTTTAAGGCTATCTGAGTATAGACACACCCATAGCACCTTCAAATTTTTTTTTTGCGGATGGCACACAGTAACCTCACAGTATTTGAGATGGACACGTCTGTGCCGTCCAATTAACACACTCCAGCTCATGATAATACAGTGTTCTACAGACTCTTAGAATGTGCCAGCTAAAAATTACTAACTGAAGAATATTTCTTTCATAACTAGTTCTGTAGACTTCCATGGAATGACTTTGTATGAGCACAAGGGGAATAATCTAACCTTTTACATTTTTAATTGGAGTTGCCAGTTTAAAAACACAGAAAAAAAAAAAAAGTGGGGGAGTTGGATCTTAGATGCCATTACCCCAAGGTGCTGGATGTAATCTGGTGTTATTCTCTTTGAATGTTTCTAGGAAAAGCTGCTTCCCGAGTAGAAGAAACATGAAAGATCAGGAAAGTGACTAACAGCATGGGAGCCTTGATGACGCCTATCAAGTGCAATAAATGAAAACACCAGGGATTGTGGCAGGGATAACAAAATGGGCAGTTTAGCACAATAACTGCCAGCTATTGTTTTTCAGGCAAATGACTGTGACTTTGGGATGATTAGTCCATAACCAGAGGAGAGCAAAAACACTAGACAGGATGAGAAAGGGATTGTAAAAAACAGGAAATAAAACCCTCAGACAAACTTCCTATAGACATGAATTTCACCACCAAACCAGTCAATTATCAAATTTCCTCCTCATGTATGCCAAAAGAGTCAGCTCATTTGTACTGAGTTAAATATATTCTTTTATGTATATGCAATTGTTTGATCACAAGTTAGCTCTCTTTGGCAGTAAAAAGCTACCTTTTGATGCTTGAATATACCTTCAAACCTACTCTGTACATCTTCAGGCTGTCCCATTGGCTTTATTGGTAGAAAGGACTAGAGGTGATGTTTCACAATGGAATGTAGGCATTTTCAGCAGAAAATCACCACTGATGACAACTCATCATAATGAAATAAATGTTATCCATAAACTCATCTATTCCTGTGGTGTCTATCTGCTCTAGGAGAGACCTCATGTTACAGTAGGAAAACAATCTAAAGGCAACATGGCATTAAAATATTGCTGGAACTATGTTAATAGGAAGGAAAATTCATATTTAATAAGTGCCTAGATTCCTTTCATGTTCACATGTGACACCAGATAACTCAGGCTAATCAGAGTGAAGTTGGGTAAGTCCTTGTGAGGGAAAGGTTCCAGACAATATATGGGGGTATCCTGTTGTAAGCTGGCTTGAATGTGTTTTTGGTGCCTTGACCAGCAGCAATGAGCAGACAACCTTGTCTAGAATCAAGGTTCCTGCTGGGGACACTGTGCAGGTGGCTCCCCGCATGTGGTGTCTCCAGAGACCCATTTCCTCCATCATTCACTCCATTTTAAGGAGCAGAGGCTTTGAGAAGCTGCTGTTGGCAGCTTTCTGTGGGCTGATAGGAAGGCTGGAAGACATACTACTCATTGTTGTTGCTCACCTGAAAGCTGGGCGGTGGCAGGACTCCTGATCCACCTCCACAAGGGAGTCCCTGTCTGTCCAGAGAAAGCATCTCAAGGGGCAAGATACAAAGCTCACTGTGGCCCCAGCGCCCCGCCACAGAGAGAGGTCAAGAACAACATAACCCAGGCTATTAATGGCAACGAGCTGTAAAAGCCTTGGCCTCTGTGTCATAAAACTGTTCTAGTTACTACAATGCACTTTATAACCTGTAATTCCACCTTGGGCTGCTCTGGGCCTAAACACGAGGGACAGTACAGCCGTGTGTAACTGAGTGTGCGCAGCCCCTGCTCTGGCTTCTCAAAGGTGCCAACTGTGAGCAGCTGTTTGGTTTTACAGACCTGACACACACCTTTCAAATAGCTGCCTGTAGATTCAAAAAGTTTAGCCTTTGAATTGCAAAATTGTTCTTTGTGTCAGAGTACATTAGGAGCCCCACGTGTGCCAATGTACATGTAGGTATGTGCATTTAGGTGCTCCTTTATTTGTCTAAAACTTATTTATAACACTTACCAACAGTATCCTGTATGTTTTTGTTAATGCCAGCTCTTTAACTCTCATACCCAATGCATCTGGTATAAGTAATAAAACTTACTTAATTGCCAAAGTGAAGGAAATTTCCTATGCTTGAATTTTGATAAAATAAAGTAATGGCTTAATAGAAAAGTACTTGGAAACAGTGACAAACATTATGAATGTCATCTATTGGTGACTATGGTGAGTTGTACATCACTTTTTAGTCTTTATCACAGCACTGTTATCTCCAGTTTTTGCACTGGAGAGTGTATGTTTCCTTCTAATCAGCTAGTTAGTGATGAGAAGAAATCCCTGGTAATGAGGAAAAAAATCCCTGGTTAATGAGAAAAAATTACCTCAGTTAAAAGAAAAGAGTATTTTCGCAGAACCTGTACAAAGCTGAAGCACATTAGGCAATTATTTGTAGTACATTACATCCCAGGCAAGGCAGACTTGCAAAGCATTAATAGTTGCACAGACTGAGCCAGAGTGATTTCATTGTAAACGAACTCCATGTTCTGGCACATCGTTGCACCACAAATCTCTGAGGACAGTTATGTTATCACAGAGTTCCTTTGAGATGTATTCAGTGATAATGCTGGTTATAACGAACTTTAGAAAAAGATAGAAATATCATGGTCAGGCCAGCATTCACATATATTGCCAGTTTACCATTTATAGACTACTAAACTTGGGTTTGATCTGTTACACAGCTGATTCTTGGTTTATAAAATATTAATAGGAGAAGAAATCTTTATTTGTCATAGAAATCCTGGAAAGTAACATGAGATCAAGAAAAATGCAATCTAAATCTGAGGCCTGGGAAACTTCTTTAGCTCCATCTTTTACCAGGATATTCAGGAAGAATTGAAATTGCTGGACTTTTGAGGAATCAAGTTACCCAGTCAGTAATGCCTGGTTTAAAGCCTTTTCTGAAACGAAGACAGCACTTTATAGTGATGTTTAGCATGTGTATGGAAACAGACAAATAGCTACTAAAAAGGGGCCCACAGGAACATTTCAGCTATCAAATTGGCATATTGAGATGTACAGAAGTAACAAAAGCAGCCTATACAAAACACTTTCAAATGAGTTGGGATGGTAAATATACATACAGTTGGGAGTATTCAACACTAAGTACACACTGAAGTTGGGAGAACTTCACTGTATTATATGAAAGCAACCACACTGTATTACATGAAAAATACCAGTTTGGATGCCTTTCTATTGAGTAAACACCTGCAAAAAAAAAAAAAAAAAACCAAAAAAAACCCTGCATTCCTCTCTTGGACTTCTCCTGTTTTATAGGTTTTATATCCTGGGCTAGGCTGCCTCCAGTGGAAGAAGCAAGGGTGACAACACCTATGGAGGAGGACTGGTGACTCCACTGGAGAACATTTGGCTGTACTACACCTGCAGCCAATTGCCACCAGCCTTTTTTTGGGAGGCAAAAGACTGATCAGAGCAGTGGGTGCAAGGACTGTTGACCTGGCAGATTTCCCTACACTGCACTTATACAGACATTCCTAGAAATGCTGAGATGCCTTTTGCATGTATTTCTTTTGCAAGGCAAGGCTAAAAGTGGGAAGACATCTTGCTATTCTTCCCTCCTCTTCTCCTCTAATCTTGTCCCAATAAAGATCAGGTCCCTCACAAAGTCACAGGGGCATGAGGATTCTCCAGCAGGATGGAGGACCAGGTCTGTACACAGAGGGGTCTGTCCATGTGTTGATCATGAGAAAGACTGGTTCAAGTGGGGGCTCAGTTGGCTGCACCCAGACAAAGGGTTGCATGCACTAATCTTCCTGAATTGCAAGTATAGGACTATAGGACAGTATTTTACTCACTGGAGCTCCAGATCAGAATAACTGGTGAATTAAAGTGATTTTTTTGCAGGGCAGGACATTGCTGAGGCTGGTTCTAGAAGTTTGGGTTTTTTTTGTTCCTTCTTAATAAAAAAAAAGCAAACCAGAAATCCGAAACCAAAAAACCCCTCCAAGACAGCTGTCTTGTGAGGGATCTGTATTCAATATTAGAAAGCTACACAGCTGTGGAGTCTGGATGCTATCATAAAAATTGAATAGCAGAGACATGGCATTGCTGAAATACAACCCACTTTGTAAGTGTGCTGGGTGCTTGGAATGTGCATATTGCACAATAAATGTGCTGTTCTTGTCTTCAAAGCAAGAGCACCAATAGGCCTGTGGAGCTGATGTAATGAGATTCAGGCTGCCCTCAACAGCTGAAATATTCAGTTCAGCAAATGGATATTTCAAATGTAAATATTTATATGGGCCAAGGGCTCTTTGTTGCTTGCTATTTTGACATTTTCAAATCCCTCAGCTTTACTTTTGTTACAGAGATGGTCTATTTGCTGATGAGAAGAACAAAGATCAGTGACTAGTTATGCAGGAATGGTGTTATTATCACAGCAAAATAACACTTCTCCCAGTCCACAAAGCTTTGATTCCATATGCTTCAACATGATAACCTATACATTAATAGAAATTATGCAGGCTGTTATGAGGAAGTCCAATAATAAAATAAAGAAACAACTAATTTTATGTCATTATTGGATAGAATTAATGGTTCATCAGGAAGAAATGTTACTTGCATTTGACTTTCACTACAGCTGCTCTCATTAGTCACTCGTTGCATTTTGCTGGACTGGTATTTACCCTCAATACCATTGCTATTGCAATCCTTCACTCATTTAACAGTGGGCTAACTTTTTTATTTTCTCCCAATTTAGAGACTTAGGATATGCTTAGGAAACTTATATTTTAGCTAAAATTATTGCTAGTATTTAATCTCTAAAGCTTTAAAATTAATATTACAGTCTTAATCTTACCTATATGAGCAATTCTTTTCCTTTCTGTGGCTAGGTGTGACTGCCACTGTTTTTTTCCCTTTTCCATCTTCTCGCACCTTTCCCTTTGCTCTGCTTTCTGCTTTTCCCTCCTTTCCTTTCAGGTTTTTGGTACCCTGGTGCTCCCAAAAAATCTGTCTCTGTCTCCTTGCAACCAATTTACTCTCTTCTGCCACTTTCCTGGGCAGTAGCTAGTCCAGTCTGGTTCCACCAACTCAGCTCTTCAAGTGAAGTTTCTTAGTTTGGGCTTCTCCGCACTCAGTGCTTAGTCTGCTTATTCTTATTGCCATTTTCTTGCAACAGTGGGAACTGTTGAATTATATATAACTGCTTCTTGGAAACTTGAAACAAAAGATTGAATGTTTACCAAATCACTCTTGGGCAGATAGCCAAATTTAAATTCATATTGTTGGACTTCTTCCATAAATTGTTTTCTACAGAAATAGAATACCAATCATTTTTCTGAGGAGCATAAACATCTGAGGAATAAATTCTTCCAAGATGATCAAGGAACATATAGGGTGTTATGGCCTTGCTGCTACCTGCCCAGGTGAGATAGGTCAAATTCTGAGGATATTTATTTTAGTTCACTTAAATATTTAGCTCTTAAGCACTGTTGGCTACTTACTTCTGCTTCTGATAAGGGATGTGTTGAGGCATCACTATTCGTATTTGGTTGCATTCACTATCCAATTCAGAAATTAGGAGTTAAACTTTCAGAAGGAGTCTAATTATGATTCAGATCAGGAGCTGTATTTGACTTTCAAACCAAAGTAGGGTGAAACTCTTCCCTGCAGGATTCCTTCCTCCAGTCTCCAACATCCTGTGTGCACAGACCTCTACTCATTTCCTTTGCTCATCACCAAATTCTTATTCCTGGCATGAGAATCTCCAGGCTTTATTATTTTTTAAAAATTTGGAACATTCTTTTTTTAAGCAAAAACTGAGCTACATTAATTGCCAGGGAAAGGAAATTTCAAAGATATAGGTGTGGAATCAGGATGCTATGAAAGTACATGTGAGGTCAGGAGCATGCAGATGTCCTAGAAACATCTGACATTTTTGGACTATGAGTACATGTAGTGTAGGGTAATGAGTGTAAT